TCAGAATATATCCTGAGGACAGTTTCATATGACTGCATATAAATCTGCATTATTCTTTTCTCCTTCCTTCCCTCCTTCCCTCCCTCCCTCTCCCTCCCTCTCTCCTTCCTTCCTTCCTTCTTTCTCTCTCTCTCTCTCTCTCTTTCTTTCTGACAGAGTCTTCCTGTGTCACCCAGGCTGGAGTGCGGTGGCGTGAATTCAGTTCACTACAACCTCCACATCCCTGGTTCAAGCAATTCTCCTGCCTCAGCCTCCCAAGTAGTTGGTACTACATGTACAACCACCACGCCCAGCTAATTTTTTTGTAGTTTTAGTAGAGATGGGATTTCACCATGTTGGCTAGGCTGGTCTCAAACTCCTGACCTCAGATGATCCACCTGCCTCAGCCTCTCGAAGTGCTGGGATTACAGGTGTGAGCCCCTGTGCACCATGCACCCAGCCTGCATTATTCTCTTTCATGACTCTGTGTCATCCTATTGCAACAATATAGCATAAATTATTTAGCTAGTCTCTTACAGGTGGATGTTTACCTTTCTTTCTTTTGCCATTATAAGCAATTCAAACAGCAAGTCAAACAGATCTGTTACATAAATTCATTAAAGTGAAGCTGTTGGATCACAGATATGTCCAATTCTCATTTTGGCCTAAACTGCCAAACTCCCTGGGAATTTCCAAGAGATGGTATTACATAATAGCAAGGGTTCTGCTGCCAGACTGCTGGGGTTTGGCTACTGGCTTAGCCACTTACTAGTTGTGTAACCTGGGGTAAATTACTCTAAAATGCTGTACCTCAGTTTCCTCATTCATAAAATGGGGGAGAATAGCACTTGTTTCCTCTCAGGGTTATTACAAGGTTTAAGTGAGAGAATACATGTGAAACAGTATAACACCTGACACAAAACAATTCCTGGGTAACTCTGACACAAAACAGAAAAGCAAAAATCAAAACAAGACAAGTAGAATTCCTGAGACAATGGGGAATAACCCCGATTGACCCATCTTGGTTTGGGTCCCTGCTTCCATGTGACACTAATGGTTCTAAATGACTCCAAATTGGGGCTACACATTTAGGCTGCACTGATGAGGCTGGCATAGGTACAGGGCATGGTATGCCTAAGGGGTCTGGCCATTTCACTAGGACCAATGTGACCCCCCCGAGGATTAGGCCCTTGTCTTTGCCTGTCTGTCACAATAGCTAACACAGAGTTAAGTGTGGGGTTTCATCACTAGAACCTCCAAAGGAATGATGTGCCCAGAGTGAGGTTTAATGCTGACAATGGGTATAGGAGGCTTACCTGCAGAAAACAATGCTGAAAGAAGTGCCTTGCCTACGATCACACAAAAGGAAAAGATGGAGGTAGCATTAGTGTAGGAGAAGGCATTCTCTTTCCACTGTGCAACACTGTGTCCAGCTACCTCTCTGTAAGTGACTAAGGGAAAGGAGTTGGCCATTTAAAGAAATGATGATAATGACAATGATGTTGACTATGACAACAGCCAGCTAACTAGCATCTATTGAACACAATGGGCCAAACACTGTTAACTAACTAAGCATTTTATATGGATTATTTTACTTAATTCTCATAACCCTATGGTTGAGTGTTTATTACTGATACTTACTGGTTGAGTGTCAGGAGTTCTTCTAAGCACTTTACACATGCCGACTCACTTCATTCTCACAACAATCCCATGAGGTAGGTACTAATATTACCTCTGTTTTAAATGAGCTGAGGGATGGAGAGATTGGCTAACTTACAAAAACCTAGTGGGTGGAGGATTCACAGTTTTAACTCAGACATTCTGGCTATTCTTTTTCTTTTTAGACTTTAGATGCAGAAGGCTGAATTAATACTCTTCATGGCCTCACTCTTGTTCTATTTATCTCTATCTATTGATTATCTATCAATCATCTGTCATCTATCCATCCGTATATTTTATTTGTTTCTCCTCCTATTCTCCTCCCCCTCCCCAGAAGTGACCATTCACCATACTTAATTAAATGTGCATCTTTTTGTTTGTGTAAGTTGTACAACCTGTGCTGCTGCACTATGCAAGTCTTCTGCAGCTCTAGCCTGCTCTAAAGTGCTTGAACTACTCTACTACAAAAGCTAACTCATACACTGCACACTGCTCCTCTCTCTGTTGATAAGCATAAGCCGGTAAGTGAGTCTGAGAGCATGGAGACTGTGTAGTCTTGGTTCAATTTCTGACTAACAGATTTGAGTTAATGTGGTTACAACAGATCTTGGAAAGTAAGCAAGATAAAAGGATAAGCTAGAGACCAATGCAAGTTTGAGGGTTGATTGGGGGTCTGGCTTCCCTAATCTTCATCAGCTCCTCTAATCCCAGGTTTCCCTAAGTAATAACAAACCATGTAAACGTGATGAGCTTGCCATAAAGCACAGCTTTAGGACAAGTCCCTGAGTTTCTCACTTCAATCCAGATTAGCACCCCAAGTCTCTGCAAAGGATTGAATGCAACTACACTGGAGCTTTAGTAAAGCACTTAACACGTATCCAAGTCAAGTCCTGATAGTTAAAAAATGGCGTTCTAGGCCGAGTGCAGTGGCTAATGCCTGTAATCCTGGCACGTTGGGACGTCAAGGCTGGAGAATTGCTTGAGGCCCAGGAGTTTGAGACCAGCCTGGAAAACCTAGTGAGACCCTATCTTTACAAAAATAAAAATTAAAACTTGGGCATAGTGCAGTGTGTCCGTAGTCCCAGCCAATCAGAAGGCTGAGCCCAGGATGCTAGCACTACAATGAGCTATGGTCACACCACTGCACTCTACCCTGGACAACAAAGCAAGACCCTATCTCAAAAAACAAAAAGTTCTAAAACTGGAGGCATAATTAAATCTGCAATATAGTTATCCCAAACTCAGACCAATTTACAACCAAAGCCACCTCCACCATTCCTGAGTGTTGAGAATGCCACCTTGCACTCCCTGCCACTCTGACTAGCCCTCAGTTCCCCCTTTTCCCCTACAGCACTCACCTCTCTTCCCTGCCATCAGGCCTGTTGTAGGTGGAATTTTGGCCCCTCAGTGAGATATGTTGAAGTCCTAGCCCTTAGTACCTCAGAATGTGAGCTTATTGGGGGAAATAGTGTCATTACAGATGTAGTTAATTAAGATGAGGTCATACTAGAGTAGAATGGGCCCTTAATCCAACATGGTAATGTCCATGTGAAGAAGGCCATGTGAAGATGCAGAGATACAGTGAGAACGTCGTGTGAAGATACAGCCAGAGATGTGAGTGATGCATGCAGGACAAGGAATACCAGGGATTGCCAGCCACCAGCAGAAGCTGGCAAAGAGGCATGGAACAAATTCTCCCTTGGAGATTTCAGAAGAAATCAATCCTGCCAACACCGTGGTCTTGGACTAGCTTCCAGAACGGTGAGAGCATACATTTCTGTTGTTTGAAGCCACTTGGTGTGTGGCACATTTTTATGGCAGCCTAGGAAATGGTGCAAAAGGCTGGACAGCCCTTTCTGAGCCTGGTCTCCATGGGGAGATATTTAGCAAAGGCTTTGACCAGCCTGTTGGTTTCATCATCCCTGCCTTGTTAGCAAATCGCAACTCTGAGCGGGACACGCCATCTAATTTCCCTGTTCCTGGGCCTAGGCTGTCATGGAAATAGCAAAATTAGATGAATTGATTATGTTGCAAAGTCATTGTCTCCAACCATAACTTGCCCCTGTCTGAGCCTGAGCAATTTTTCATCACATTGAAGTAAGTATCACAGAGATTCTCAACAGTAGGGAGCGAATGGCTCATGGTTTGAAATAAAAACTTTGCCTCATTGTTTTACTTCATTTAAAATTTAGTTTGAATTTCTAAAAACATCAGAGGAGGATAGGGAATTTTTCTTTTTTGAAGAGGAGTGTAAAGGTGGATCCATATTTCCCTTTGCCTGAAATTAGCACAAGTGTGCATAAGTGGTGGAGTTGGGTTTCAAATGAATAAAGCAGCCTGCCTCCAGAGCCCACACTTCTAAACACCACTATACAAGACGCTCTTATGGTTTACTAGATTGGAAACTCCCGGATGACAAAAACCCTTGTATGTTCCCTCTTTGCATCTTCCCAACTCCCTGACGCCATCCATCACACTTTAAAAACATTCAGTAAAAAGAGGCACATACTTGGGCAGAGTTTCCTTTTCTCTCAGCAGTAGGTGGATAAATAAGTGACTATTATGTGGCATTTGATCTAAATATTGCAGTTCCATTTCCTCACTGCTCCCTCTCCTCTCTTTTTCTCTTTTGTCTCTTTTTAACCCTCATCCTGTAGAGAAGGAAGGGCACAGGGGCCTCTTTCTACACTAAGGAAATCTCAGAGGAGTTCTCCCAGGCCCATAGAGACTTCCTGAGTAGCTCTCAAGCTGCAGCCCTCTTCAGCTGGCAGCTGTTCTACAGTTTGCAACCTCAGGTCATTCCAAAGAATGAACCTCTTGAAATAAACACAAAGGAATGGGGCCTTTTATTATCTCCAGATGGGATTGTGCGGCCTTGGAAGCTGTTGAAATAATTCTGCTGTGCCTGGATCAAATTTTGTTATCTTCCAAAAGGAAAGAAAGAGAGGAGTGGTAAATTGTGTTAATAGAAAGGTAACTCGGATTAAATTCTGCTGATAGGTCCCCTTCCCCCACTAAAACCCAGATTTTTACATTTACTTTTCATTTATTTTTGCATCCCTCTTCCCCTTTTACAATAAGATATTAAGCTGGGCTGGAATACACACAAACACACACATACAAAAGGACGAAATTGAAAAACCATTGTTTTTGTGTTGTTATCCAAGATTTAGGTGGTGTTTTTTCAAATGAGGATGACATCTAAAAGAGAAAATACATGCTTTGTAGGGTACTATTTCGAAAGAAAGTATGATAAAGCATGTCTGTGATACCTTTATTTTTACTCTGTTAGTAGTGGCGAGCTGAGCAGTTTCTACATACATGGAGTCCAATAAACACCTATTGAACAAACACCATAAATACTTAGAATTTCGGGCTATAAACAATATAAAATATAATTTAAAAATTGATGGTCCCACCTATTGGTTATGATATAAAGTATAAAAATGATCACTTACATAATAAGTTATTTCATGTTTTCCAATCATGTTACTTATTCCCACAGAGATTCTTTGAGGAGCTGGAAGGCAAACTTGGTTCATGCAGACGTAAGGCACTGATATTTTCAACTGGGGTGCTCTCCACTGGGTGCCTATTAAATGCTCAGCACTTTGAAGGATACCAGAGAAGTAAAGGCCTGGCCCCTGACTTTAAGGAGCATTTTATCCAGTTGGTAAGAGACCTACCTACCACTATAACAAAGCAATAAATAGCCTAAACAAAACAAAACAAATAGGAGGATGAGGCTGGGAGGGTCCCTTGAGGCCAAGAGTTTGAGGCTACAGTGCACTATGATCGGGCCTATGAATATAGACAGCACTCCAACCTGGGCAACAGAATAAGACCTTGCCTCTACAAAATAAAGATATAAAACAAAATAATAAATAGCCTGACATTAAGATGTATAATGTTCCTTCTATATAAAATACATAGTATATGGTAATCATACTTTCTAAATCCTCAGCACAGTGTCCAGACTTAGGACATGTTACTCCAAAGTAGGGCACCTCACTTGGCTGAGTACTTTATGTATGTATGTATGTATGTATGTATGTATGTATGTATTTATTTATTTATCAAGAGGGAGTCTTCCTCTGTCACCCAGGCTGGAGTGCACTGGCTTGATCTTGGCTCACTGCAACCTCCGCCTCCTGAATTCAAGTGATTCTCCTGCCTTAGCCTCCCAAGTACCTGAGATTGATTACAGGCACCTGCCACCACACCTGGCTAATTTTTGTGTTTTAGTAGACAGGGCTTCACCATGTTGGTCAGCTGATCTAGAACTCCTGACCTCAAGTGATCTGCCTGCCTCAGCCTCCCAAAGTGCTGGGATTATAGGCATAAGCCACTGTGCCCAGCCCTTGGCTGAGTACTTTAAACAGGAGGACACTGGAAGGGCCTCAGAAGCAAGTTTTCTCTGACCTTCTTCTGCTCTCCTGTCTCTTGCCCTCTTTTCTCCTCTAAAGCAAGTGACAGAAATCAGAATTCCTCTTCCCCACCACAGGCCCTAGAAACTAGGATCACATTTCTGCAAAGCAAGCCATAAAATCTAGAAAGGTCACTCTCTCCTTTTTACCTTGAAGACTGTCATTCCAGAGGGATCCTACCCATACCCAGGAGGAAGGAATGCTACATAAAGAGACCCAGAAGAATCTAAGCAGAAAGGCAGGCCTTGCTGGCTTTCCTCCCCAGTCTATTACAATAAGATCATACTCTCTTGTCCAATCACATTTCTAGATGGCTGTCCATTCTTCACTGAGCCTCAGCCTCAGCCTCAGCATAAATACACAGTTTTCCTTGCATCTTTGGGTATTCATTTCTTTTTTTTGGCGGGGGTATTCATTTCTAAAGGCTCCTATGTCATGTAAAACTTTGGTTAAATAAATTTGCTACGCCTTTCTCTTGTTAATCTGTCTTTTGTTACAGGAGTGTCAACTGTGACCTGTATGATGGGTCAAGAAAGGTACTATACCTTTCTGTTCCTATAGCAGGCAAAAATCTGTTTTGCCTGCCGCTTACCCTAGGCTTAGTACAGCACAAGTCCTGGCACTCAGTAGGCAATTGATAGAATAATTGAATTAAGTTGGGTCTCATGGTAAGATATATGTGGCTTATAGTATATTTTAAATTAAGACTGGCAAAACAGATCAGAACATATGTGTAAACACAGGAAGCAGGGCATGAATTATGTCCTAGAAAATTCCTCAAGGGATTTATAACCTAATACAGATGAAGCCATCAGTGCGGGGATCTTGTAGCCTTAAATTTGGTTCGAACTTGAGATTTTTGTGGTTTGCTGTGCCAGCCCACAGTTTTTCCTTAGGCGAGCACTGAGTTTTTGCTCAAAGTCCAAAAGCAAAGGAAGAAAAAAAGGCAGATGGTGGGTAGTTGCAAGACTATGAACATATTCTACTCCTGGAAGTCTTACGGACAGGAGTAATTCCTGGAGTATGAAAGTAGCCTAGAAAGATTTTTGCTTCCTCCCTCCAACCTAACTATGTGGCACAAAATATTCCTATAGTACTTGGTGATATGAGGCTGAGCACAATGGCTCATGATTGTAATCTTAGCACTTTGGGAGGCCAAGGCGGGTGGGGCACTTGAGGTTAGGAGTTCAGGACTATGGCCAACATAGTAAAACCCCATCTCTACTAAAATAAAAAAAAATTAGGTGGGTGTGGTGGTCCATGCCTGTAGTCCCAGCTACTCAGGAGATCGAGACCGGAGGATCACTTGAAACCTGGAGGCAGAGGTTATAGTGAGCTGAGATTTCACCACTGCGAGACTCTGATTCAACAACAACAGTAACAACAATAAAAACTTGGCAATATGTATTAAGAGTCTTAAAAATGGTCATATCATTTGATCCAATACTTTTCCTTCTAAGAAAATATGTTGGCTGGGCGCAGTGGCTCACACCTGTAATCCCAACAGTTTGGGAGGCCGAGGTGGGTGGATCATGAAGTCGAGAGATCGAGACAATCCTGGCCAACACGGTGAAACCCCGTCTCTACTGAAAATACAAAAATTAGGTGGGCCTGGTGGCGTGTGCCTGTAGTCCCAGCTACTGGCGAGGCTGAGGCAGGAGAATAATTTGAACCCAGGAGGCAGAGGTTGCAGTGGGCTGAGATCGTGCCACTGCACTCCAGCCTCGTGACAGAGTGAGACTCTATCTCAAAATAAATAAATAAATAAATAAAGTTAAGGAAATAACCAGAAATGTGAACAGAGGCTTTTTGGAACAAAGGGAAAAAAACCTCTGTACTCAATATAAAAAGTTGTTTTCTAAAAATTTTATTAAGTAAATTTTGCCCTAGATATAAGACAATTCTTACATAATATTTAAAAATATGGCAAAAAATTGTGTATATATAGGTTATCCCTGAATAGAAGGATTACAGGTTGTTTTGATTTTACTCTATTGTAAGAAAAAAATTTAAAGCCTTTGAAATTTAGTGGGTGTCTTGATTAGTGCATCCATTAATTTCTGCTTTTATTCTCTTTGACTAGTCTTTCATTAGACTATTTTACGACTTTGTAGAGAAAGGGGTTAACATGTAGAAAATTGACATTAATGTAAATGTTTCCTGTTATACTATGCAAATGATCCCTGTTCGTGTCAATGCAAATAAATTTTGTCTGGCAGGTAATATAGATTTCTGTAAATCCAATCCATCTGAACCAGCTATAACACCTTACTGGTTTTCTCATTAATTAATGAGTTAATTAAAATCTTTGATGTGTTCATTTTATATTTATATGGTAGCTGTATGTTTCCTTATTTTGAAAACTGTTTTTTAACACTATATAGTTTCTATTTTCTAAATTTCCTACCATAAGCATGTATAGGTAATTTGGTAAACTTTTTAAGTATAACATGCATGCATGCATGTACGTTTACAGCTCAATGAATTTTCACAAAATCAACACCTCTGTAGCCTTTGTAAGTATGATCAAGGAAAAGAATAATATTACCACCCCAAAGCTGCGCTTGTGCCTCCCTCTTAGTCACTATTATCTCCACCATTCCAACAGGTAAACACCATCCTGACTTCCAACATCACTGATTCATTTTGTCTGATTTTGAACTTTATATAAATGGAATCATATGTGTTCTCATTTGTGCCAGGCTTACTTTGCTCACCATTATGTTTGTGAGATTCATACATGTGGTTGTGCAAAGTTTTAGTTCCTTCATTCTCCTTGTTGTATAGTGTTCCATTATATAAATAGATCACAATTTACCCATTCTGCTGTTGAACATTCAGATTGTTTCCAGTTCAGCGTTATTCCAAATAGCGTACCTATCACAATTTTTGTATGTATTTTTAAGTGAAAATATGAGTATATGTCTGGTGACTAGAGCGTGTATTGATTTAAAATATAAAAAAAAAAACTGCATTAAAAATAAGTTTCTCAGCCAGGCACGGTGGCTCAGGCCTGTAGTCCCAGCACTTTAGGAGGCTGACATGGGCAGATCACAAGGTCAGGAGTCTGAGACCAGCCTGGCCAACATGGTGAAACCCCATCTCTACTAAAAACACAAAAATTAACTGGGCATGGTGGGGTGCATCTGTAATCCCAGCTGCTCGGGAGGCTGAGGCAGGAGAATCGCCTGATCCTGAAAGGCGGAGGTTGCAGTGAGCCGAGATCTCCCTGTTGCACTTCAGCCTGGGCGACTGGGCAAGACTCCATCTCAAAAAAAAAAAATTTCTCCCTTTTTCCTACAAGTCTTTCTGTAAATATGAAATATTTTTGATTAATAAACTCTTGGATTTCTTCCTGGTTCAATCTTGGTAAGTCGTATGTATCTAGTAATGTATCTGTTTCTTTGAAGTTTTCCAATTAATCGGCATATAGTTGCTTGTAGTTGTCTCTAATGATCCTTTGAATTTCTGTGGTATTAGTTGTCACTATTTTTGTCTCTGATTTTATTTATCTGGGTCTTCTCTCCTTTATTCTTAGTCTGCCTAAAGATTTGTCCATTTTGTTTATCTTTTCAAAAATCCAACTTTTTGTTTCATTGATTTTTTCAATTGTTTTCTTCATTTCGATTTCATTTGCTTCTGCTCTGATCTTTATTATTTTTTCTACTAATTTGGGTTTGGTTTGGTCTTGTTTTTCTAGTTCTTTAAGATGCACTATTAAGTTATTTGAAGTTTTTCTCTTTTTTGAAGTCAAATGCTCTACCACTGAGCTACACCCCTGCGTCAGTTTTTCTCTTTTTTGATGTGGTCACTGATAGTTATGAACTTCCCTCTAAGTACTGCTTTCACTGTATTCCTTAGGTTTTGGTATGTTGTGTTTCTATTTTCATTTGTTTCAAGACTTTTTTTTTTTTTTTTTTGAGACAGAGTTTTGCTCTTGTTGCCCAGGCTGGAGTACAGTGGCGAGATCTTGGCTCACTGCAACCTCCTCCTCCCAGGTTCAAGTGATTCTCCTGCCTCAGCCTCCCGAGTAGCTGGGATTACAGGCGCTTGCCACCATGCCCAGCTAATTTTTTTATTTTTGGCAGACACAGGGTTTCACCATGTTGGTCAGGCTGGTCTCGAACTCTTGACCTCAGGTGATCCACCCAGGTAATTTTTGTGTTTTAGTAGATTGGGCTTCACCGTGTTGGTCAGCTGGTCTCAAACTCCTGACCTCAAGTGATCTATCTGCCTCAGCCTCCCA